ACATATTTGCTATATAGTAATCATGTATAAACGTTTGTTTTGGCTTTCCAGACCACATACTCTAATATTCACAATGTGGGCTTATTACAGTTTATAGAATACAGACAACCATTGGATCTGATGACTTATTTAAAAATGTTCCATTATCAGTGGGGAGCTTAAGTTGAGGCTGATAGAACGTCTCATATTGTCTTTTATGGTCTCTGGCTTACAGTTTAAACAGGAAACCAGGCAAAATTCCAAGTGCCTCCCTGATCCCCCACATAAATGTGCATCATGTAAGATAACCATTTTAACCTTCAGCACACTCTTCAAACCAGGGGTGGGCAATTATTTCAAGTGGAGGGTCGCTTACCAAGTTTTGGCAAGTCATTGGGGGCCACAGGGGTAGTCTTGCCCCTTGACAGATGCCCACCCCCTGGTTGCCATCTTGGGACCAGAAGTCCCGCCCCTAACCTCTGCCTTTTGCCACCAGAAGGCCCTCCCCTTGTCCCCTGGAATTACTCCTTTCAGCAAGGGGTTTTGCCATCTCGGAACCAGAAAAAAACCAAATTATATTCTAAAAATTAAACATTAAACTACAACATTCATTCATTTCATTTCAAAAAATATTTTTGTCTCGATTTACTGCAACCCGGGCTGCAGGCTTCCCTGGCACCATAAGCTGCAACTTGCTGCACTGCCCTCCCCTGCCCCTCTAGGGTAGGGGCAGAATCAGGAAGGGGAAGCTAGACGTACTGCTGCTGCAGTTGAAGCAATGCTGGGAACAGGGCTGGGTGGGAGCCTGGGAGCAGCCCTGCTCTAAAGAAATCTGAGGGCAACCCCTTACTCTCTACGGGTGTTTACAGACTTGTTTCAGGGGAGGGGGGGAAGAGGGTACTTTAATTAAAGCGGCTCTCTCCCCTTCCTGCCCCTGCCCCTACCCAGGTCTGAAAGCTGCCCTAATTAAAGCACCCAGAGCATCGCATGTATCAGGGCCCCCGCACTGAAAAATGGTGGCAGGGGTGCTTTAACTAAAGCTCATTGAACAAGCTTCAGTTAAAGTGCCCCCGCCGCCATTTTTCAGTGTAGGGATGCTGATATACGTGACTGGAGTCTGCTGGAGCGTGGTAATTACCATGCTGGAGCAGACTTGATTAATTGAGTTGATTAGTCGTCTGCTTCCACGCACTGTAATTACAGAGCCTCAGAGCAGCCTCCCTGCATATGTATAGGCACCCTACAAGTCTATTACCTATATAAAAATATTTTTGAAGTTATTTTAAAGCTGACCAGCCATTAAATTATAACTCAGTCATTATGATACTGTGCTATGATGGGACAGAACCCTATATAGTAGATGTCTCTTAAGTTTCTTTCCTAACTCTTAACTCTTCAGGAAAAATGTACTCTTTGAAGCTTCTAATCTGTTTTATCTGATGCCTGCAGTCAAAAAGTCGTCCTTCTGTCCCACCTTTAAAGGATGTATCTGATGAAGAAATTTTTTCATGGATGAATTCTCTTGGAGGTGTTTCTCCTGAGTGGCTTGAGAGAAAGGATGCTATAAAACTCTTGATTCCTCCAGTAAGAACAGATCTTGCAGTTTTCCAGTCATTTGTGTAAGTGGCACCGTGTTATAGTACACTCTGAAATTAGGAGTGTTTATCCACATTTAAAAAAAATACTACTTGTATATGAGACTTATCACATCAGATTCTCCTACTTTTTACCCTGAATCTTTGTTCCTAGCATATAAGAGTTTTTGTATAATTGCATTCAGCATGTTTTCCTTGGTGTGTCTATAATCCACCCTTCTGAAGTAAAAATAATCACCATGGGGTGCCTATACACAAGCAGGGAGGCTGCTCTGACGCACTGGAATTCTAGTGCGTTGAAGCAGACTTGAGTCTGCAGGAGCGTGGCAATTACCGCACTCCAGCAGCCTTCTATGTCTCCTGTATTAACGTCACTGCACTTCAAAATGGTGGCAGGGGCATTTTTTATCTAAAGCTCATTCAATGAGCTTTAAAGTGTCACTGCTGTCATTTTGAAGCATGGAGACAGTAATACATAAGATGTTCTGGGTGCTTTAATTAAAGCAGCTCTCAGGCTGCTCTAATTGAAATGTTGCCCCTCTCCCCCCACTCTTGGAGCATGTGTATAAACACCCCTATAGTTTTACATAGGACCTCAAGTTAAATAGCTTTTTAGAAGGGGAATGTTTCTCCTCTTCTTCATAGAGTACATTTAAATAACTTTTTCTTCAAGAGGTTCAGAGTTCAATAGGAAGGCCTTGCCTAGCTTTCCAAGACCCTAGGGAATCTAAAATGTATCATTCCCTCTTGGCCAACCGCCTTTTACCCTTGTCAGCATCCTTAGTCCCATTGAGGTTTACAGCAAGCCAGGAAAATCAGTTTCCTTTGTTATTAACATAAGGATTCCTCTTGTACAACACACTGCAGGGTGCTCAGATAGTGATTCCACCTATTTCCAACTACATGAGGTAGGGTCTGATGAAAAGATCCAGGAGAAAATATAGTATGTCAGCAGTTATTTGCTCATTTTTACTGGATGAGAAGATGGCACTTTCTGCCATAACTCCATGACTACAAACAATTCAAGAACCATTGTGTCAAACAGCAGATATTTTGGGTATAGTTCAGGAGAAGCCATATAAAATGCTAGACAGTATAACATACTTTACCTGGATGGCTAACTAGCTTAGTAGCACCTACCCTCAAGAGGTTGATAGTTGTTACAATCCACCGGTGAGTGCAGGCCCCCAGATCTGCACGCAGGATGACAGCATGCTGCCACTGCTGGCTGGGGCCAGCAGCAGCACCTGCGTTTGTGCTGTGCAGCCCGCGCTGAGTGCTGGGAAGGCTGGTGCTGCTGCTGGCCCCAGCTGGCAGCAGCAGTATGCTGTCATCCCCGCGTACAGATCTGGGGGCCTGCACCCCCCAGGAGGGCTGCAGGGTTGTGCCGGACTCTTCCCAGGGGGTGCGGGCCTCCAGATCTGCATGCAGGAGGACAGCATGCTGCCGCTGCTGGCTGGGGCCAGTGGCAGCACCAGTCTTCCCAGTGCTCAGCGCAGGCTGTGCTCAACAACCGGTCCCAGCCAGCAGCAGCAGCCTGCTGTTATCCCACATGCAAATCCAGGGGTCCACACCCCCCCCAGGAGGGCTGCAGGGCTATGCCAGAGTCCTCCCGGGGGGGGGCGCAGGCCCCTGGATCTGCACATGGGATAACAGTAGGTTGCCGTCTCTCCCTCAGAGCCCTGGGATTGGAAGGGACCTCAGGGACAGATTGCAGACACTGGCCAGCTACAGATGTCAATCAGAGCAGTCCTTCCCCCTCGTCCCCCTTCCCTCTTCTGAGTTTCTGTCTCCCCGCAAGCCCGCCTCCAAAACATTCCGAAACATTTGAGATGGTTTCGTTTCATTTAGTTTCAGAGATGGTTTGGAGCCTTCTGTTTCATTTCGGATTCGGTTTTGGGCGCTGAAACGGGCCAAAACACCTCTGAAACAAAACAACTGTCAAAATTTCGCACAGCCCTACAAACAATCCAGATATAAATGATCCAGGTTCTATTATATGTGCGTCCCATACAAGGCTCCTTCATTGTGGCTACAATCCATGAAAAAAAAGGCAGCAAGTACCCACCAAACTCAACATAAGACGAAGAACCAAAAAACTTGTTGGAAGGAGGCAGGGCTTAGTCATAAGTGTCCATGTAAACAACTTTAAAAAATCTGTTTTGATATTCACAGTTGTGCAGAACCAAAAAATGTTCTCTCTTGTGACCTAACATGCTTTGATGGATCTGAAGATTTGACACATGATTTAGAAGGTAATTAATTTGCCTGCTTTACATCTTCTGTTTATCTATACATCTATAATACATTAACTGGTGAGCAACTGTGTCTGCCATCTTGTAAATGAAATAGAAATATGCAGTTTCAGTATATGATCCAAAATAATTTTTGTGGAAGAAAGATTCAATTAACCTTTAAATAGGTTATGTAAAACTAATATTACCTGACATTTCTTACATTCTTTAAATATTTGATTCTTTTTCAGAATGGAAGGATGTAACAAGTGGTGACACCACTATTCACAAACTTCCTGGAGGCCACTTTTTTCTGCTGGAACCTTCTAATGAAACTTTCATAATAGATTATATAACAAAATGCATAGAAAATGCTGACTTCTGAATATTCACCTTTATTTTTTGTGGGGAGGGTACAAGCTTGGTCCAAAGAAATAAATAATAAGGAACTTTCCTATGTAATTGCATGATTGAGATGACAAGATAAGAAATTTGCTATAGTTTAATGGCTAAGAGTTTATTAATATTGTATTATATATGGCAAAAGATTTTTCCAGGATTTCATTTAAGGCAATTGTTAGAAAAAGAAAAAGAGGAGGAAGGAAACTTTATGATTCTTAAAAGCAGGCAGTCCACAAGCCACTCAGATTTTCTGTGTGACAAGCAGACCAGGGTTTGAGGATGGTAAGAAGCTAGCAGGCAAAAATGAATGCAAAGACAGTTTTTTCAGCATCAGTAGTTTCCTAGCTTCCCTCTAACTAACTTAGGGACCTGGCCCAAGCAATCATTTGGGTCTCACTTCCATTTAAAATATAGCATTCTTATGCCAACTAATATAGCTTTCTTATATCTCTCTCCATGACTGAAATGAAAGCGGAATTACTTGTGCTAGTCAAGTTACAGTATATTGAACCTAAGAAATTAGTCATATTTTCTTTATATCTATCCTCTTTGAGACCTCATAAGTTACTACTATACAGGGCATTGAAAAATGCTTGCTTTATTTTATTTTATTTTATTTTATTTTATTTTTGTTGTTGTTATTAGAATCCCACTTTATCCCATACCCTCTTGTGGAAAAAAAATGACAGTTAAAATTTTTATCTTCAGAATTTGCTCAACGACTGGGAAACTGGATGTAATATTTCTGTCCCCTAAAATATATAGATGAGAGACAAGTGAAATCTTTAAACCAATCTAATTGGTAACTTTATTCAAAATAAGCATACTCAGTATCTGAGAAGTTCCGTACATATGTAAATCACTTCTTACAGTTAAATAATTCATGCTTAGTAAATCATGGTGTCAAACTAAATGTGAAAACGTTATTGCATTTTTCCTCAAAATAGTTAGTTCATTAGCTTCTGGGGAGTTATTGATTTTTGTTTCTGGAAATTATCTGGAATATTCTAGATCCCATATTTTTCTATCACCTCTTTTGCTTTAGAGATGTAGGCATTCATGGCATCCTCCTTTGATAAACCTGCAAAGGAAAGTAGCAGTCATTACATCTCCTTATTTGGTATTCTATAAAAGCAATGAAAATAGTAGAAACTTAAATACTATAACACCTTTTTTAAGGTTCCATGCTTCCCATTTGGCTTTGCCTTTTAAGTCTAGCACTCCTGGACACTCTGCCAAAGGAAACAGATAAACTTGTTGTAACTATGCAGCCTCACCTAAAGATTGTTCAATAGGTTTAAAGTTACAGAATTAAATATGGTAAAATGAATATGCACACAGAAAAGTACCAATATTAATGTCTCCAACAGTAGACTGTTTGTAGAGTCCATATAGCTCCTTCAGTTCTTCATCACTTGGTCTCGTTTTTAATTTTTTTACCTCTTCTGCAGCACTGTCAAAGTCAGCCTGATAAGAAGAAAGAAAAATCAAAACAATACAAACTTAGACGTTTTGTCCCTCAACTTGCATGCTTCAAGTGCTCAGTATAACATACATGTACTGGCTGTTTCCACATTGTCACTGATGCCAAACTTAATAAATCAGGAATATGACCAGCTTGTTAATAAATCAACTCTGTTGATATATTTGCAAGGAAGTCATAGCAAAATGTTGGAGGAGGTAATGTACATACTGTGTTTACTCAAATCCAAAATGAGGTTTTCCTCCTCCCCCAGTCAGCATGCAGAAAAAAAGGTTCGTCTTAGATTTGAGTATCAGCCCGGGGCAGGTGGTGGGTCAGCTCTGGCTTTGGCCTCTGCTCAGGGCTGAAGCCAAAGCTGAACTGCTATCTGCTCCTGGTTGGGATGGATCGCTGGCGGGGGAGGTGGCTTGCACCCAAGGGCATGTGGGGAGAGAACAGAGGGCGGGAGGGAGAGGTGGAAGGAGGAAAACCCACGTGTAAGGCTCAGGGAGAGCACAGGGTAGACAATGCAGTATGGTTGCCTTTGAAGGTGCCTCCCCCTTTACATTCCTCCCCAGCTCTGGTGCCTCCAGCCCTCATCTGTCCTGGCTGAGAGCTACTGCCACTTGTCCATGGCCAGGCCAGGCTGGGGACATTGTTGCTGACTGCTCTGGCTCTGAGGCAGA